GTTAGCTTCCGAGTTTAGCTAGCTACGTAGATAAAATAAATTTACACACTAATATCTTAAAGTTAGCGTTACATGAATCATAATTTATTTCACCGCGATGTACGTGTTAAGCTGCAGTTACGCTAACAAACGAAAACTCACCAGCTGAAGCACACAGAGCCGTCCTCGGAGTTCTTTGATGAAGAGTCCGGTCGTGGAGATAATGAATCAGGACGTTCAGGCTCTACTCACAGGCTGACATTAATGCTGAGAGGAGGAGGTGGGAGACTAATGAACTCTTCTCTCCTCGCAGAAAAACACGGAGCAACTTTCTGCAGTACGTGTTGTCGAAGCCGTTCAACACGCGCTGCACACGTGAACCCATCTGTAGGCGTCACCAGCACCATAGACATAATTATACATAGATTAGGTACGGCAGCTCTATACAGCTCTGGGTGTAATCTGGGTGTAGTCTGTTTGTCATATGTCTGGTGTTTTACCTGCCTGCATGCTGAAACCACGTGACACGTTACAGCCAATAACAAAACTTGACACCAAAAGAAGAGTGACGTTTCAATACATACACCGACCGGTGCAGTTCGGTCGGTGCCATAAAAGAACCTCGGTTCGGTACTCAGCCCTAGTGTCTGGGCTCTCCCTTAGAGACAGGGTGAGAAGCTTGATCATCCGGGAGGGACTCAGAGTAGAGCCGCTGCTTCTCCACGTCGAGAGGAGCCAGTTGAGGTGGCTCGGGCATTTGGTTAGGATGCCTCCTGGACGACTCCCTGGTGAGGTGTTCCGGACACGTCCCACCGGGAGGAGACCCAGAGGAAGACCCAGGACACACTGGAGGGACTATGTTTCTCAGCTGGCCTGGGAACGCCTCGGGATTCCCCCGGAGGAGCTGGACCAAATGGATTCTATTTATCATCATCAGTCATTTGGGACAACATTGGATCATTCATAGATCCTCACCGAACTTCTGGACTGAGTTTGCTGCACTGAAAGTAAAAGGGCCCAATAATATTGTACGCCCCACTTTTCAGTTTATTTGTTAAAAAAGTTTGACACATCCATTAAATTTCATTCCACTTAACGATTGTGTCCCACTTGTTGTTGATTCTTCACAAAAAATTAAAATTTTATATATTTATGGTTGAAGCCTGAAATGTGGCATAAAGTTTAAAAAGTTCAAGGTGGTCGAATACTTTCACAAGGCACTGTAGGTCCAGGTGTATCTGAAAGCTAAAAAAAAACACATGTTAAGGATAGAAAAAATAATTACAAATACAAAACGGGTTGAGCAGAGTAATTAAAGACAGTAGTAGAGTGAAAATTGTGGTCAGTTTGTCCTCCAGCAGTCTAAGCCTATAGCAGCGTAACTAAGGGACAGCTCAGGAAACCCAAGCCGACCCTAACTATAGGATTTATCAAAAAAGAAAGTCTTAAGCCTAGTTTTAAAACTGGATAATGTGTCAGCCTCACGGACAGAGATTGGAAGTTGGTTCCACAAGAGAGGAGCCTGATAACTGAAAGATCTTCCTCCCATTCTGTTTTTGTAAACTCTAGGAACCACAAGTAAACCTGCAGCCTGAGAGCGAAGTGCTCTGTTAGGAAAATATTGAACAATAAGATCTGCAATATAAGATGGAGCTAGGTTGTTGAGAGCTTTGTAGGTTAGAAGTAAGATTTTGAATTCTATTCTGGATTTGACAGGGAGCAAATGGAGAGAAGTTAAAACTGGAGAGATATGATCTCTCCCAGTAACTCCAGTTAAGACTCTGGCAGCAGCATTTTGGATCAACTGAAGACGTTTTAAAGAAGTATTTGGACACCCAGATAATAAACCATTGCAATAGTCCAGTCTAGACGTGACAAATGCATGGACCAGTTTTTCTGCATCATCTTTAGATCAGATGTTTCTAATGTTAGTGATATTACGCAGGTGGAAGAAGGAGGTTCTAGTAACGTTTTTAATGTGGGGGATAAAAGACATGTCCTGATCAAAAATAACACCAAGATTTTTAACATTAGAGCTGGAGGACAGATTAATGCATCTAAGGAGGGAGAAAGACTGAAACATTCATTCCTAAGGTGCTCAGGTCCAAAAACCAAAACCTCAGTCTTGTCTGTTCAACAGGAGAAAATTAAGGGTCATCCAGGTTTTTATGTCTTTAAGACATGCTTGTAGTCTAAGTAGCTGATATGATTCATTGGGTTTAATGGACAAATATAACTGTGTATCATCAGCATAACAATGGAAATTTATCCCATGCTGTTTAATAACTTTACCTAATGGAAGCATATATAAAGTAAAGAGTATTGGCCCAAGCACTGAGCCCTGAGGAACTCCATGACTAACTTTGGTGTATGAAGATTTATTATTTACATTTACAAACTGGAATCTATGAGATTGATATGATTTAAACCATTTTAGAGCTGTTCCTGTAATCCCAACATCATATTCAAGTCTCTGTAGTAAAATATTGTGATCAACTGTATCAAATGCAGCACTGAGGTCTAACAGGACCAGTAGAGACACAAGTCCATTGTCTGAGGCCATGAGAATATCATTAGTGACTTTTACTAGTGCTGTTTCTGTGCTATGATGAGCTCTAAACCCTGACTGAAACTCTTCAGATTATTTTTTTGTAGATGTTCACGCAACTGACCTGCAACTATTTTCTCTAGAATTTTTGAGATGAAAGTTAGATTAGATATAGGTCAAAAGTTGGCCAGAATTTCTGAATCAAGATCAGACTTTTTAAGTAAAGGTTTAATTACAGCAACCTTAAAGCTCTGTGGCACATAACCATCCATTAAAGACAAATTAAGTAGATCCAAAATGTGGACATTAATTAGTGGAAATACCTCTTTAAACAGTCTGGTTGGGATGGGATCTAGCAGACATGTGGATGGGATCTAGCAGACATGTGGATGGTTTGGATGAGGTTATTATTTTTGACATTCAGAGCTCAACAGGACAAACTGTCCAAACATAAATCAGACTCTAGTGACATTTTTTAAGTTGCCTCATTTGACAGAGGACTAGAGATAGTAGAAGGAAGGATGGTTTGAATTTTTTCTCTAATTGAAATCATTTTATTTATAAAGAATCTCATGAAGTCATCACTACTTATAGTTGTAGGGATACATGGTTCAACAGAAATGGGACTTTTAATTAGTCTAGCAATAGTACTAAACAGAAACCTAGGGTTATTTTTATTCTCCTCTATTAAAGATGAGTAATATAAAGTTCTAGCTTTACGGAGAGCTTTTTTATATGTTAACAGACCATCTTTCCAAGTTAAATAAAATTCTTCAACATTAGTAGAGCGCCATTTTCTCTCCTGGTTTCTAGATGCCTGCTTTAAAGTACGTAACTCAGAATTGAACCAAGGAGCCAGTTTCCTCTGATTGATTACTTTCTTTTTCAGTGGAGCAATTTTATCAAGTGAAGTTTGCATTGAAGTTGTAAGATGATCAACTAGATGATCTAAGTCTCTGTTCTCTGATGCATTACTCTGCAAGACAGAGGAAAACATTGATGGAAGAGATTGTTTCAATTTGGTTACAGCGTTTTCTGATAAGCACCTGCTGAGATGAACTTTACTCTCAGTGACTGTGTAGTCATTTAATGTAAACTCAAAGTTATTAAAAAATGGTCGGACAGAACAGGATTTTGCCTTAATCTCTACACCATAGGTCAGAACTAAATCAAGAGTGTGATGATAAGAATGAGTAGATGTGCGGACGTTTTGGGTCAAACCAAATGAGTCTATTAAATTATTAAAGGCTATGCTTAAGCTATCACTTTCAACATCCACATGAACATTGAAATTACCCATTATGATGATTTTATCATTATTTAATAGTAAGTCAGTTAATAATTCTGAGAATTCAGACAAAAACTGAGAGTAAGCGCCTGGTGGACGATATATAAAAACTAATAAATGCGGTTTTTCTGATTTCCATTTTGGATGAGAAAGACTGAGGGACAGCGACTCAAAAGAATCATAACTAATAACTGGTTTGGCATTAATCAATAATCCTGACTGAAAAATAGAAGCTACTCTTCCACCTCGGCCAGTTGTTCTAGGAACATGAAAATTTAAACAATTAACAGGAGTGGATTCATTGAGACAGTTTGTGACGATGGAGGGTGGGTGGGTGGAGTTTGGTTTTGTTGACAAGTAGAGCTGTGTGTCATCAGCATAACAGTGGAAATGGACACCAAATTTGCAGAAGATGCAACCTAGAGGAAGGAGGCAAATGATGAAGAGGAGGGGTCTGAGGATAGAGCCTTGGGGACACCCGTGGAGACGGGGGAAGACTGGGAACAAAAGGATTTAAGCTGAATGAATTGAGTGCAGTCAGATATATAAGATTTTAACCATTCTAACGGAGTACCTGAGATGCCACTGGAGGTTAGTCTGTTGAGGAGGATAGAATGACAGATTGTGTTGAAGGCAGAACTTGGATCAAGTAGAATGAGGATAGACAGAAGAGCAGAGTCAGCAGCAAGAAGAAAGTCATTAGTTATTTTTATTAGAGCTGTTTCAGTGCTATGGTGGGGGCGAAAACTAGATTGAAACTCTTCATAAATCTTGTTGTTGGATACCAACGATTTTTTCAAGAACCTTGGAAATAAAGGGTAGATTAGAGATCGGACGAAGATTACTGAAGTTGGTAAAGTCAAGACCTAAAGTTCTCTGGTTTCCAATTGAAACGACACATTTGAAACCGTTAGCACTATAAAAACTAACTACTTCCTTTCTTCTTGTTCTTTCAGGCGGCCACACTGAGAGTTCTGAGGCAACGACATGTAAAAACAAAAAGCTTCTTTACCTGACTCAACCTTCAGTAAGAAACATCCCCCAAACTTTTCTGTTTTTGTCACCTTCCTTGTTTTCTGTCTTTGTTATAAACTTTTTCTCTTTTTGTTCCATCTAACCTAAATGTGGCTGTGTTTCTGCAGCATAACTGTCTCGTCCGGATCCTGGCACCATCCTGCTTCGGGCATGCCTCAGGTAAAGTGGAGCTGAATTTGAGGAAAAGTTGTTGAAGTGTCACTGTTTCATACAGTCCTGCTGCTGCTGGTCTCCATGCTGGAGTTGTGTCTTACTCTGTGTTTCTTCTCTTTCAGCCGGGTATGAACGGGATGGAGCCTGTCTTTGGCGAGGCCTATGGGGGCCACAGGGGCCTGCTGAGCCCCTGTCCTTTGGCCATGTCGCCACAGGGGGGCAGGACAGAATATGATCAGGTGAGGCAGCATGTGAAAACACAAAGTTTTATTTTATCATTCCAAGTCAGATATTTTTAATCCTCCTGCTGCTTTTGGGTCCAAATGCTCCACAAAGCCTTGATTTCAAAGCTGAGGTCTTGTGGGTCATTTTGACCCAAGTGCATGAGGCTTAAGGAAATCTTTCTGTCCCTTCTAGCTCCTTATGCTGGGCTCCCAGGCATTTTCAAGGAAACGGCCTTTTGAGTTGTTGAGTGACCTGGTGGACGACGGGGGTTTTGGCGAGGACCAGCACACGGAGCGCTGGGATGTGTCTGCTCTGGATGAGATGACTCGTTACACCAAGCTAGGTCTCGGGGTTGGGGGTGACCTGCTAGCCAGCTCTGAGGAGGCTGTCCTAATGGGCCGTTGGGGGAGGAGTCTGGAGGAACAAGACAAGGAAGAGGAAGAGAAGAAGATGAACGGGTGCACATCAGCTCCGCCTGTCTCCCAAGAAGTCCAGGTCTCTGCAGCAAGGAAAGATGGTGGATGTGTTTCCATTCCCACAGCTACATCGAGGGAGGTGTGCACTGCAGGAAGCAGGGCAGAGGAAAGACAGGATGGGTTGTCAGGGGAGACTACAGTGGAGGTCTATCAGGTGGCACAGGAGGAAGAGGAAACTGTGGCGGTTGCGGCAGCAGGGCTAACTTTGGAGCACTGTAGTGAGGAGCATAACTACTCCCTGAGTCAGGGTGAGGAGGTGGAGGCTGGGCCGGCTCACAACTCCCAGTCTGAGGAGGTGCTGGCAGCCAAGACTCATCTGGAGGTGCAGTGCAGCGAGGAAAGCCACAGTCAAACAGAACTGGAGGATGAGGAACAAGATGAAGAGGACGGAGCGGAGGAGACAACGGTGGAGGCTGAACTCTCGAGCTCCTCGGACACAGAGTGTGGTGAGTTTTGGCTTCAGCCTCATCTTTTTGGTGAGGAGACATCAGCTGACCACACAGAACGTCACTTTCGTATTTGTCCAGACGAGCCCTCAGACCGCCAAGTCCGATTTGGCTGGCAGAGCGGCGGCACATTAGATTTCAGATTTATGGGTGTAATTTACAGCCTTCCTGCTGAGCCTGGTCACTGTCGTCACACGGCTCTGAGGGTCTCCTGCACTGTAACACTTTGTCTTTGGTGTGTGGGAGGGTTCTTCTCTGTGTTCTCTGGTTCAACGTTCTGATTTTCTAAAAAGACATGGCTTTATTGTGAATTGGAGCTATATAAAATACTGGATTGAATTTAAAACAGCAACACAAAAGCAGAATATTTGATGACTTCAAAAGCAGCACACAAACGTAAAATCAACTGGTGGCTTGTTGGAAATGTTTGTTTCCTGCAAAGCTCTGTGTGTGTGTCGGGGAGGGGCGGGGGGTAAAAATAAAATTTGAGGGTGTAAGAATTACTTCCCTCAGTTCATGAAATTATGCACATGCATTCAAAATCTGTTCCTTCACTTTAGTGGATCATTGCGTTGAAATGAGCTACCAGACTTCATTCAGTGTGAGAGCCAACAAGAGATCGTTGTTTGGCTTCCCCTGCTTCTACATCCAAAATGGCTTCAGAACTTAAATGTGACGCAAACCTCAACTAATATTAATTAATTTCACTTACAATATTTATTTCATCACATATTAAGATACCTGAATTCATTTATAGCCTGAAATATTTTTCTACATACCTCTTTCAGAGTCAGAGTCAGAGTTTCTTTATTGTCATTCGCACCTCATGTGGTACATGTGGTGGAGCGAAATTATGTACACAGGGTCCCAGTTACATCCAACAATAAAATGTATAAGAAAAACAGTAACAACATCCAAGATATGAACTAAGAAAAACATCAACTAAATATACACTAAGCACTCATAACATAAAACATTGAACATCAGCACAAACGTGAACATGAGTCTGTGTGAGCAGATGTGCACGCATGAACACATCAACATTGAAACAGATCAGCAGCAACATGAAACAGATCAGCAGCAACATGAAACAGATCAGCAGCAACATGATATGGTTTTTCACAGTGATTATTCTAGTTAGAGATTCATGAGTCTAACAGCCTCAGGGTAGAAGCTGTTCCTCAGTCTAGTGGTTCTACACTTAATGCTCCTCAACCTCCTTCCTGAGGTTCAGAAGTGTAACGTACATAACTATTTTCTTAATGTGCGTAACACAGAGATTCTTTAATTCCATCCATCCATCCATCCGTCCGCCACTCTTCATTTTCAGGTCGCGAGGGTCACTGTTGCCCACGTCCAGCCATCACTGTGCGAGGGGCGGGGGACACTTGGACAGGTCTCCAGTCCATCACAGGGACACATAGAGACAAATGAGACAACCATCCACTCTGACTCTCACCTGGGGACAATTTACAGTTTACATGCATGTTTTTGGTCTGTGGGAGGAAACCGGAGTACCTGGAGAAAACCTACGCAACACGGAGAAAACATGCAACCTCCACCCAGAAAGGCCCCCGGCCGGGATTTGAACGGGGACGACCTGCTCGCTGAGAGGCAGCAGCTCTACCAACTGTGCCACCGTGCTGCCTCGAAGAATTCAGTATTTCTAATATCATCAACATCTTTCATGACTAAGTGATATATTGAATATTTTATCCACAACACGTAGACTTGCCTGCAATGGCACACTTCAGACTTTTTCAAGTTTGATAAATGTAACTGTAGGAGCTATTTGACCATTTTTTGTTGTCTGATTTAGTTTGATTTATAAATTAGCTTATTTTTAGGTTTGATTTCTAAATTAGCATTTTTGTTTAATCATAATTGTTTAGAATAAATGTGTTTGTTAGTAATTTGTTTAGTTAATATATTTTTGAGATGTGGGTATCAGAGGTATAAGTATGTAGGCTGTAGGGAGGTTTAGAGGCACGTGGGTGGTCATATGGTTTTTTTTACCAGTTTGAGGTGGAGCAACGAGTGGAGCAGTCATGCAGGATCTAGAGCAGGTGTGTCAGCAAGGGATCCTGTGTATCGAATTATTTGGCTGCCAAGATTAATTAAACCTACCATAAACTGGATTTTTTTGGACCTTTCCTTTGTACCGAGTTAACCACAAACCCACAGAGCAACAAGTTTGAGTTACATTCACCTTCACTTAGATCATTTTTTGTTTGTGTTTGGTTTTCATGGCCAATAGTCACTACAGTAACTTCACGTTTGTCTGAATGTACCGTACATAACACTCTAAACTGGATTCCAGCAAAAATCTAATCAAGTTAAGGGAAACATTCTTATTTCTTATGGAAGGGTGATGATCCAGGACCACTAGGGATGAAATAAATCCACCACGTCCAATCTGTAATATTCGTAACATGGAATGCTCTTAAGTATTAAGCAAAAGTTGCACAGATTCTTATTTCCAGGCTTATTAACATCTAAACAACACATCAAACCTGTAAACATATTAACATCACCTTCTGAAAGGTGTAAAAAAAGTAGCAAGTATACAACAATTTAAAAGAAGTTCAACTCAGAGCTGAACAAATATCTAGGAACTGTCCATAAAGGAGAACAAGGATAAAATTGTTACCAAAAAAAAAATTAAACTAGCAGGTTTCTAATTTAACTGTTAAAATAAATTTAAACATTGAAAGTGCTGCACCGTCTGCATTGGTCCTAAGAGGAAATGTCCAAGATAAAAACTGTCCTGGATCAGGTTCAGGTTTGGTTTATTAGTCATATGCAAAATCAACACAGAGTCAACAATACAATGAAATGCTGAGGACGAGAAGAACCCTGCTCGCCAAAAACCCCAACAAGAAATACCAAATCATGCAACAAAAATAAAGAAACAAGGCACCAAAAGTGAAAATAAAATGCACCTAAAGCACCATGGTCCTGTTAGTAGTGAGGTTATCTTAACAACATGGTCCTGTTGGCACCATGGTCCTGTTAGTAGTGAGGTTATCTTAACAACATGGTCCTGTTGGCACCATGGTCCTGTTAGTAGTGAGGTTATCTTAACAACATAGTCCTGTTGGCACCATGGTCCTGTTAGTAGTGAGGTTATCTTAACAACAT